CAAACTTGAGCATAATTCAAACTTCTCATTCATGAGGATGCGACTTTATGCACGTTGTTGTTATTATTTTCTTGCTTTTGCTTTCACTCCTCCGAGGCAATAAGATGAGTCGTCCTGACAGACTGTGGCAAGTTGTTTGATTTTGTAGATGCGATGAAAGATATGCATTAGACACGGACCACGAAGCCCATTGACATTTGACATGGTTCGCAGCATTATGAACATTATTACATGAAATACAAATCATAAAATATGTTTATCTCTCCAAAAGTTGTGCTATCAATCTTGCCTCTTATATCCAAGTAGCTATTATTTCCAGATATTCTGCATTCCTGTTGGGATTCGTACAGTTTTAAACTTTAGTTCAAGTTTTATCCAAAATAACCTTCAATAATCATTATGCTATGCTTATTTATTTATGTAATTTTGTGCACTGACTTGAGTTCATTCCTTATCGTATTTTACATTTAAGTTACCCATGTAACTTCATTTGAGTAATTGTGTACGAGTTCATTTCCTTTAATCTCTATTGTGACTAATAAGTTGAACCCGAGTTCTAAGTATTCTTATTTTACCTTGACAGTAACTTTCCAGAAGGTCTAATTTTACATACTTAATTGCTCATTTACTTACCATAGGTTATAAATACAAGTTACATATTTTTCCTCGTTGTCATTCTGCTTACACAATTTGTCCAAGTCAGTCAGGTCACGTCAGTCTATTTTCCTAATCTCAATTTGCCTCAATTTGTATGAATTTAATAACTTGTATAAACTGACTACAATCAAGTACTTCACATTGCCATCTTATTTCTCACCGATCCACACACATATTTGCACACATTTCAATACCCATAATCAGGGAACACTCATTTTTATCACTCACACAAACCCCCTGCTCGTTGGGAGCCGTCATCCCCAACAATTCCTCTTATGGCTACATGTTTCCCTTCCAAGCAAGCAATTGAGTGCTTATCTTTTTTTTCGCATACGCGTCGTTTCTTTTAATTCTTTTTTTGGTGGAAAATATTTTGAATGACCGTAAGAAAGAAAATTGCGACGCAAAATTGTAAATCAACTTGGTCCAAACTATTATTTACTGTCCACCCTATAGCAAAGTATTTTTATATTTATGTATTACAGCTCACTCTGCTTCTAGTTTAAAGAAGTTTCACGTAGAGTTTTGCAGCGGTCTAGAATAAATTGCGGCTACATTGGCGTGGTTCCACTCCACAAAAGAATACTATTAAGAGCTCCTTTGTTGAAATATCATTGTCAGCTTATCGTAGTGGTTGTGCAAAGCGTTTTTGTGAAATTGAATCAGTTTTGATCGACAACGCATGGTTCACTAACTCCAAAACATTTATTATTTGAGGAACGCACGACTGGTTGATATAATGCGTACATGTCAACGTATATCTATGTACATATGTTCAGAGTTACAAAAAATGACCTACTTACTTTTACCACTAGAATGTCCTTCTACTTTTACGATTTACAAGGATTTATTGTTGAAATGCAATTGACTAATGATGCAGATACTTCCAATCAATTTAAAATAAGACCATGGTTCTCGCAAATGTGAATCGCATAAAGTTTGCAAACTGTAATGGAACCTTTGTTTCGTGGAACTTTTGTCTATGTGCGCATATCGTCGGTGGGCATTCTTGTACGGTTTGTATAAGAGAAAGGGTGGCATGGGGAAATGTGACCCCTTTCCTTTCTCTGACTGACTTTGACTGCTGATGACTTTTGGGACTGGGAGAATCTGCATAACTATTGCTTCGGCTAACAACCCCTCTAAATGTAAATGTGCAAGTTGTGCACATAACACTGAAGCGAAGCCATTCCATCGTCTCCATTGTTCTACACTGAACACAAAATTACATATTTAAACATTTTGGCCATCACAACCAAACCCACGATCCGCGCTGGGACATCAGAATTCCTTTATTATGCGAGGACAATTTGCTTATAATGGCATCCTGCTGGAATTTGGATTTAGCAAATCCAGCAAAATTCAGGAAGAGATGAAAACTAAATTGGATCAGCGGATGTATTCCTGGTGCAATGGGGAATAGGATGATGATGAGACGCATATTATTACAGCATAATATTGGTCAGTCTTAACACAGCATAAATTACAACTTAAACTTCTTGGTAGCCCAACGAATGGACTCCTGATGTACAATTCGACAGTGTGACTAGGAATTTTTTTGAGTTAACAATATGCTACGCCTACACGAAGACATTTTTAGCTTATTTGGGATTGATTGGACAAAATTTGCTTGAATTTGGGTTTATGGTTATGGTTGGTGAAAGTTGTGTTTAAGGAATTGTGATGCGGCTGCAGAAAGTATCAACGGATATGGTTCAAAACCTGTGCACCATCCGCTCCATCACAGTCACAGTTCAAAACAGAACTTTTAATAGGGCAACATTTTGATATATACAGTGTTCCAATAATGCATACATACACATTATTCCCAGCATACAAAGGTTATTTGCTTAGATAATGATGTGATGCGCCAATTTAATTGGGTTCATTTCTGGTGATTGCGAATTCCTTTGGGATTTTGAACATGAATTGGATGCATGCAGGTTGAACTAACTGTATGAGTAAATGTATGTATGTATGTTTATTTTACTAAATACATACATCCTCCTGCATACTACTCATCTCTAGCTGTTCTGGGAAGAGAGTTCGTGAATGTAGCTCTGTTTCCAACTGCTAGGGAATCACTTTGAACTGAGGGGAAGACGACTGGAATTTATTACAAAGAAAAGCTGACGAGTGGTCGGAGTAGCCTTTGTGTTGAGGCGAGAGTAAATTATTTAACGTCAGATTACACTTTCATCCATGGAGAAAGTTGTTTCCCTTTTCATTTGAATTTGCGGTATCTCGGTGTGTTGCATGAATTAGCAAACTTAACACGGGGTTCACGGATGAGAATAATCTTGGTTTCACCGGAAACTCGAGTTTGTACATGGAAAAGTACATATTTGCACCAGAAAGGTTCAAGTTCTATACTAAATATCATAGAGACAAAATTTGCGGCCAACCCTGACAGTGATGAAAATTGGCGATTTTTCTACAAAATGATGAAGATTGACTGAATTCCGATTCTCGCCTTCTCATCATAATTTGTCATATCCCGTACTCAATTTCGTACATTTGTCACGGTTCACCAGAAGGGCTAAAATGGACTAAATGCTGGCAGGAATCTCACCCAGACTTTTATTTATTCTGCGTCCATCACATATTGTGTGAAATATCTCAGCCAAGTTTCTTCACACTCATGCTACTAGCTCTGCCTATGATCGTACGTATGTGGTGTTGGCGTGAAGTGAAGGTGGATCAAATCCAGTATAGGTCTCCTACATAACAATCCCATTTCGTGGTGTTGAAAAAAATCATCTCTCTGCTCTCCAGAGTCTTCTTCTTCGTCTCGGATCGTTCGTTGCTTTCTCTTCCGTTCTCTTTATTTTTGGGAAAGCTTCACGCTTCTCAAATACTGATGAAGATCGTGACAAAAGTCCAGACTCCTCTTCACCCGCAGTTGATTAAGTTATGAAGCCAATATCCCTCACCATTTGGTGATTTTGCTGATATTTCATTCTGCAACCGCTGCTGAGCTGACCAGACGCCGGACTCTATATCAATCTCGTCGGGCCTAAGAATATGGAACACTTTTTCTTAGCGAATTCTTCCAAATATTGAGTATCTCATTACTTTTTGTACTTAGCAGTCATTTCTGATAAATAATCTTGGACCTCAAAAATGTGGAGATTCATGAATGTGGAAAAGGATTGACTTGTTCAGTTTTGTTCTGTTGTCAACACAAATTCACAAAGGACGCAGTCAAAGAGAAACTCATGACCCGCTGGCCTTTCGATTTCGTCCAATATCCCGATTCTGAAGTGTCTGCACTGCCGTTCATTCAACTACTGGTCGGCCACACGGAATGAAAGGAATCGTGGAATTTCGCCTGACAAAAGGATGAGTTTATACAAAAGAAATTTTTGCAAGAACGGAAGCAGGAGTGCAGTTTAATGGTATTTATAATAGAGAGGTTTGTCGTTCGGGATGTATAGACGACATCAATTGGTTGGAAATGGACCAACATGAGAACTGGTCTGGTGCTTATCACCAGCAGCACGACTGGCTAAGTGAATGATGATTTGTGTGCCTGAGTTCTTTTATTCCTCATCTGCCGATTTAGAGAGAAAGGTCGTCGCCACCAGCGAAATGTTGAGATAAATGCCAAACATTTATCCACAAAAGAAATTGTACTTTGATAAAGACACACTCGTCCAAACCTAGGAAATCATTTTATTGGGATAAATTTTGCCGGCGCAATCTTGGTGGAAACTCAAATGTACAACACTCCGACCCGTTCATGTATTATATGATGTAATGGGATTCGTATAAAATTAGTTTTGGAAATCCTATTTCGTTACGCATTGTGTAGTTGTCGCACGTTGGAAGTTTGATCATTTTCTTGGTGCGTAGATGGGATTTTGTTGGCTTAATTTAATCATGTACATTCATTGGGTTGTTATTACCTTTGTGGTTTGGCTTGACATGTTGCGAGGTTGGCTGTTTCCACACCCTGCTCGCCTTTCTTACCAATGTGACACTTGTTCTTTCTATCTTTTTGACTTTTCCTCGAATCCGACACAAGGCTTGTATTCATCATCCCATAATCTCATTACGGTTGGAGACGAAAGTTTTTCTCTGCTCCCTTTGAGGAGTCTCTATTCTTCCGTGTATTGGACAATGTATATAATGCATAACACACAATGTACATTGGTCTTACCTTCTAATAGGATTTCGTTTTGGGTTGCCAGCATCTGTGTTCTTTTTTTATAAATATACGATCGAAGAGTATGATCGTATCTGTATATACATGTAATTACAATGTTATATAATATATGGCAAAACTGACTGAGAATTGTTTGAAATGCATTGTTACATGAGATTTTTTTCCAATTTTACAGGTACATCATTCATCCCAACGGGTCCCTGACCATTACTCACGTGGAAGAGAGAGACGAAGGGGTCTACAAGTGCCTGGGAAATTCTCTCTCTTTTCCAGAAGAGGAGCCACAGATTTATTCCTGCTCCTTAAGACTAGCATGTAAATAATTCATTCATCTTCTCCTTCCATTCTGAAAGCTTTTGTTCTCTCAGTTTGCTTTTAGGATTTACTTGCTTCAAATATCTGCAAATCGATAGCTTATAGCACGAAGACAATTCATTTTTACTCGGCCTTACGTCAACAAATCAATCTCTTATTGCACCACTTTCCTTAAAAACATCTCTGTCCATGCAAACACTCGTTTTATTTCCTTCCCGTCTGTCAGATTTGGCCCGAACAACTTTCACCTTTGCTGCTTGTCGTCAATAAGTCGTTTTATAAGCTTCGTTATGTTCGAAAGTGGGGAAAGTTGTTACTCTGGCTGGATTTTTATAAGTTGTGTGCCCAATTTTCTTGGAAGTATATACCGTCTCTTGGGACATTTTCATCTAAACTTATTTTTATTCTTCTTGACTTCTTTTTCCTCGCAGATCTTCAACAACTAAGCAGCAACTACTCGTTTGACCCTCCTCCATTAATCTCCAATAATAAATTGGCAGTGCCGGAAAACGGGTTTCTGCAAATAAATTGTGATGAGCCCGCGGGACTGCCTACGCCAAGGTTAGACTTATTTTTTTATGTATACGTCTCCACCGATATGTATTTCTACAAATATATAAAAATATAAATAGGACTTGGTGGGAAGGTCCCGATGGGAAAGTCGTCCTGTCAGAAACTTCAACGTTTAGTCAGAGTTCCAACACTCTCACCCTTCGCAACGTCAACTTGAATGCAACTGGAAATTTGTACACATGTGTGGCAGAGAATCTTGAAGGAATAACTCGAGCATCGTTTGAACTCATTGTTACGCGTAAGTATTTTCTGACAAGTGGTCATCTTCTTACGACGAGGCCTTTTCTTTTAAAAAAGTTTCGTCCATGAGAATAGCCTCCTGAGAAGTGTGGGCGTTGTGCCGCACCATTCTCATAATTTCCAACCATTTCACTTTTGTCCACTAAATTCTGAATTATTTCGAATTAGGGCCAGAGTCAAGGTGGGTGATAAAACTGCAGGGGTACGATGGCAAGAAGGGGAATATATTGTAGCATATAGCATAACGACCACAGATTGAAGGTTTCATGATCAGCTTCATTTGAGACCAAGGATTTTCTAAATAGCTGTTTCACCAAATCGAGAAAGTGAAAATAATCGGACTTGTGTTTCCCCTGCCTGCCTAAACCTTGCATGTCCGTCGTCCTTCGTATGTCATACGCTTTTTCCCCTTCAGAGATTTCGTCTGTCCCCAACTTCCCCTCCTGCCATTAAACGTCACGACTTGGCCAGTTTCCTACTTTCTCCATACATATCTCTGATTTTATTTTCATATCAGATGGTCATAAGCCAATAAAATGTCCAGATGATTCAGAACATCTTTCCAACCTGTCGTACGAATTTTGCCGTTTGTATATACACCCTCTCGCCACACCCCCGTCACGTTTTCATCCATCAGGTTTAGGGAGATAAGAGAACGAGAGAGAGAGAAAGTCATCCACTTTATATTGATCAATCCAAGCAGAGAGATCAGATTTAAAGATTTTGTGTGTGAAAGAACAAAGAAGCCAAGCTGTGCACCTTTAGACCCATTCCTTCCTCAGCCGAAGAAGGGGTGGGTGGGAAGGCGGTGGCGGTGAGGGAGTTGAGATGGACAAAGAAAGAAGTATGATATTTGCCCTTTGAAGAGTGAGCGTGAATAGCAAACTCTGACTGGCGCATATTAAAAAGAAAAGTAAAAGGGGGAGAAGGAGAGATGATAATAAAAATAAATTGTTTGGAATTTGAATTCAGCCCCACCCACCATTTTCGGCCACCCATCAGCCACAACCGCCACGGAGGGGGAGACGACCTTCTTCGTATGTCAGTTTCGTGGGGCAGAGTATCCTGTGAGCCACATCCGGTGGATGAAGAATCGAATACTGATTCACCATGTTCCAGCAGCAACACCTGGTCGGAGAAATCTCGGCCATCATCAGAACCCCATCGCTTTGGGAGTCAGCAGTCCTCATGAGGAGGCGCAATTCTCGCAGCGAGCTTTTCTCTTTCCTGAGAATGGGACTTTAAAAATTGAGTCCGTTCAATTGAACGATGCTGGAGATTATACTTGCGAAGTAATCACTGATGGGCATCCGCCAGTAGAGTCTCGTCCAGCACAGCTCTTCGTGACAGGTATTTATAATGACCACCTAAAATGACAGGCGAGTTTACCGTTTATGTAAAACAGTTACATTTTCCGAGTCCGAATTTAGTTCTGATTTTTATGTAGTATTTAAGGTAGTGCATCACTACTTTACATTTTGAGATCCACTACAATGAGCATGTTTTTAATTTTGATGATTTGTCATCGTCTTGACACAATAGGATGAATCATAATTTAACTATTTGCGCAGAGATGCTGAAATTCACACCGAAACCTATCGACCGGAAACTTGAGCTGGGCACAAACTCTAAATTGCACTGCCGAGCAAAAGGGAGCACTCCACCAGTGATAAAATGGGTTAAGGTGAGCATATTGATAGTTCCCCACTCAATTTATTGATACTTGTACCCTTGACCCCAACACATCGTGATCTTTTAGTGATAAGCGATGCTTGTTTTGCGACAATTAACGAATTGTATGCCCCCTATACACAAAAGTTGTCTGTGCTATGTAAAATGTTTGTGTTTTGAAAGTTTGGTTTGAACGATTTCTAGGAAGGACAACCTTTATTCCAATGGCCGAGCCATGTTCTGGACCAAAATGGAACTCTTCATTTCCTGGAAGTGAAAGCAACGGACAGAGGCGTCTACACGTGCGTGTTTCTCAAAATTATCAACTTTAATTAAAATAATGTTTAATAGAACCCGGCTAACATTACTGGATATTTTGAACATATTTAGGTGCGTGGCGACGTCCAGCACTCAAGGGATTATCAACTCTACGATATATGTGGATGTCATTGGTATGAGAATTTGTTTAATTTAGTTAGTCTCAGTCAAAACCATAATTAAGTTATTACGTTATCTACGACCGGAGAAAGCGAGAAAGAGTTGCGAATTAGGATCTAATGACAGACTTTGAACATTTGTGGTTCACGCTCCGATTCAGACTTATTGTAGAGTCGCGTTGTAATGCGTATTAGTCGATTGGGAATTCCTTTGGTGAACAAATCATAATTAATATCCGTCCGTACCTCGTATATTCATGTAAATATGTGTTCCATCTCTTGACGCATTTCATATTGCGTGCTATTCCATTATTAGTATCGTAGGATCGAAATTTGTCTGTCTTCATTATTCAGGCTCCGTTGTGTAGAGAATCCTTTCACGAAATGGGTTTCTACGCTAATGAAAAGCAAAATGATTTACTGAAGCCAACTCGTTCATTTTGATAATGTAGTTTAATGTCGGGCCAGTCGTACAATTTAAAAGTTGCATTTACTAACTGTGAACACCGAGTGTGGATCCATATTTTATTTGAATAATTTACTGAACCTTTCCGGAAAAACGTTATCTATTTATTTGTCTTGCAGTTTCTCCCAAATTTTCTGTTTTACCAAAAAATCCGACTGAAGTAACCGAAGGACAGTCATTCACGATTCACTGTGCAGCATTCGGGGACCCAAGCCCAACAATTTCCTATGATCACCGACCATCGAACAATTTGATCAATGGCTTTGATCGTAACAGGTAAGAGAAATCACTGAGAATAAGTGGATGAATATTCCGAAAACTATTTCAGACGATGTGGTGACTGCTACATTTTATTTCCAGGTTCCGAGTCATGGAAAATGGGTCATTACTCGTAACAGAGGTTATGAAAGAGGATGATGGCTTTATGGGATGCACCGCAGGAAATTCTGGTGGATTCCGAAGAGAGGAAGTTCGCCTCATTGTTGTTAAAAGTAGGTCTTGAACGACTCAAAGTTTAGCATCATTTGTGCTAAATCCAGCTCCAAAGTCGCCATTGAATAGCTTAATTGCCTAAACTTTCGCCACAACTTGTTCTCTCCCTACTTTGCCAACCAACATGCAGCAGCATCAACCAATAGATGCATATATACATATTTAGTCCTTCTGACTCCTTGCTGTATGATAAGCGTTTACTCACTATTTTAATCGTGAACATAGATTGGTGATCGCAAATAATTAACTTATCTAGCGTCACTTTAACACTAAAATGAGGTACGAGTTTGCACCCTCAGTTTGACTATAAAATAAATATCACTTCTAGGCAATGATCACTACTACTCCTCTGAGTCACTGGATGATACTGTGATGACACGCACAATTTCCATCACCTTGAGTGTAGCAGGTAAGTATTTAGTATTTTTGTCCTTTGTGCATATCTGTAGCATAATACTTATTATGTAACAAATATAATACGTATACCTTTTTATTTTTTTGCAGCTGGATACATGTTGCTTGTTGTGGGGCTTATGATGTGGTGCAGGCAAGTCGAATTAACTATAATCAACTGCATTCCTATTCCTGATAACGTAAATTATGTATTAATACAAAATTTCTGAATATTAATTAGCCTTTATTCTCTGTGGTGTAGATATAGACAACTCAGGAGAAAGCAAGCATACTTAGCAGAAGGTAAGAGAAACTTATTCTTGAGGAAATGATGGAATTCTTAATTTATATTAATCACCATTGTGTACGCAGTTCGGAAAGAGACCGGCGATGCAGAAATGAAGGACAACGTCAACAATTCAATTTGCAATGTAAACGGAAATGGACCTCATCACCTACTTCCAAATGGACACGTAGTAAAAACAGAGAGTTGCAGGTTAAAATTTCCCTTCTATCCATGCATTTTCTGGTATAAAATTAGGGTAGAATCGATATTAATCGAGCTTGTCCCAATTTTCTGAGTAATTATTAACTTGCTAGACTTGCTTGTTCTCTGATGCAGCAGGGAAGAGTAATTAATCAAAATTGAATTGTCCTTGCAGAGAGAGTGTGAAAAGTGATGGTGAGACGGCAAAGTCATCTCACAGTTCTACCGTGGGAGGAGGAACCAAAACTGCGTCAGTCACTGCTTCAATTACGAGTCATAAATCTGCTTATTCGCAAAGCTCCAAAAGATCTGCGGCCAGTTCCACCTGGGTAAAACACATTATAAATGCTAATTAAATGTATAGGAATGATCAAACATGACAAAATGTATTAAAGTATGCAACGATATTTAATTCATCAAAATATTATCCAACCCAACATCAAAACTCAAATCGCAAGAGGATAATTACTCTAAACAATACATAAAACCAACGACAATATGTATGTAATTATTCAAGTCAACAAGTACAACGATCTAATTATGTAGCAGGATGCCATTGAATTGCCAATTTCTTGTACTTTTTGTCAACTTTCTTCTTGTTGACTTCAACCCGAACGACCTTCTTTTCCAATCCGATTGGAGTCTTCACGATTTGAAGCAAATGTTGGGTGTTCCACTGGAAGGCGTAATTGGCGATGTCGTCCCATGTGTCGTCGTAATGTTCGTATTTCTGTACTCCCGAGCGGATTGGAATACCTTGGAAATTCATATCGAGCATGTTCTCAACTTGAACAATCACATGCCCAATCATCTCTACCTCTCTCGCCTCGGTCTCGAACTCTTCAAACGATCCGGCTGTGGTTTGGAAGAATTCGTAGATGCTGTTATCATCTATTGTCACTCCGTCTACGGTGAGGGCCGTTTTTTTGAGAACAGAGTGACTGCTTGAGGCCTTGGTTTTTGAACTACCAGGAGTGGCTCGGAATCTATAAAGGATGCAGACAGTCCCATCAGATGGTGGTTTGTGGGCGAAATACACGTAGGGACGCTGATTGTTAAAATTCACAGGCTTCAATTTTGATACAGTTTGGTTAGTGGGGCGTGCCGCTCCTGATGAGAATACATTCTTGTTCAGTTCCAAATGCAGCCTGTTCATTTCCAAATTTGCTTTCAAAGTGTGAATCCACTTGTTGAGTAATTCGATGTCAAACTGTCGGTCAGGAATTGAGTTGTGTAGTAGTACGAGTTGTGACAGAGTCAACTAAACACAAAAATTAACGAAACATTAATGCATTTTATAGTATATCATGAAAACCGATTAACTTACCGAAACAGTGTGATATCTCTCCTCGGATTTGTCTTTGGAATCCCTCCATTCTTGCTCAATCACGAATAAGGCGTCCGGTTTCCTGGCAAGGTAATCGGCCAGTCTCGATCTCCTGGACTTCTCCTTCCTCGGATTTTTAGATCTTGCTTGCGATTTAATAAACTCGTTGATGTTGTTGTTGGTTCGTATGACACCGATGCGAGGCCACAGCACCAGTAGCACCACTTCGTTCGTGTTCATGATGTCTCTGACAATAAGGGTTTGTCGATTCAAAAGGCTGTGCTCATCACATGCATAAGTGGGGTTATTAGCATGTCCCTGCAATTAATAAATATAAATTAGCAACTACGGATAAATGAATAAATATTCAGTACTATATCTTACTTGGACAACATTCCAGCAATCAACCGATGTACATTTAGTTGCTGCTCTCGACCACGCAAATTTATTATCTGGCTTAATTTTTGCGAAAAGACGCCCATTCTCCCACTTTACTCCCACCAGCTTGTCCTTGTGGGTAATGTTAATGTTGTTGGGGTTGGCTGCTTTCCATGGATCACTGTGATTGGTTTTCCACATTTTCCACTCTTGCATCATGTTCTGAAATTGAGGTGACGACTCCAAATTGTTCCACGCCACGCCCTTCATCTCCTCCGGATGCTGCGCCTTGAGTTCTTCAAGAACGTGTTTGCAAATAGAGCCCAATAGAGTCCGAGGGGGGTTAGATTTTTCTGGAGGAGGGGCTGATGAAGCTACATTGTCTAACTGGACAGTTGTTGGGGATGCTACAAAATAGAGATGTTTTCAATTATCTTACTCAAACAATTATATGCATAAAACATTTACCAGTTATGACCACCGTACCTCTTGTAAGCTCAAATGTCTCACCCTCCGATGTAACCATAAAAAATTCTGCACCAGATAAGCTCTGGTTTTCCGGGACGGACAACAAAACTTTTGTTCGTTTTGGATTGGGGGGAGATAATTCCAACTAAAAGGGATATGATGAACATTATTTTAATTACGAACGATAATTAATAACGATTATTTATTTACCTGCTCTTCTTGCTTCTGTTCAAATAAGTCCTCCTGGTCGTCCTCAGTATCACATTCTTCGAAATCAGTTTCGTCGTCGTCGTCGTCAGAAACAGTTAAATCCACAACCTCCGGGGATTTGTTCAGGGGACTTGATTGCTGGCCTTGGTAACTCATTGTCTGATAGTTTTAATTTCTTGACGGACAGAAAAACAAAACACGTCCGTGGTCTACTAAGTCCAAACGCTTTATGCTGAAATGAGTTGGTGGTTGTCAATTCGGTTGTTGGTCCAAAAATAAAACGACGCGATCAAGCGTGGTCACGCTGAACCTAGTTAGTGAGCAGAATACGCTCTGATAAGGACCCGTGAATTGAGTAGCGATAACGATGCAGGTGCTAATGAGAGCAAAATGCAAAGTGTATTCTAAACAATATAAACATTTTTAACGTATCACCAGGCCCAGCTGGAAAAAATCTCATTTCCGAGAGAAGATTTGCAATTTGTAATGCTCTTAGGTGAGTCCTCCTCCTTGTTCTGCTTCTTAATTAACCTTGTTCTTCATCGTTGGGGTCCAATTTGACTTTATTGATTTCCTCCTTTCCCGCAGGACATGGCGAGTTCGGTGAAGTCTTCCTGGCCAAGGGCAAATCCTTCAGGGAGGACGGAACTGAGGCGGAAGGAGAAGCTCTGGTGATGGTGAAAGCTCTTCAGACTCGAGATGAGACTGCACTATTCAAGTAATACTTTTGTGACAAGCTATACGACAAGTACAATAATAATACTAAGGACAAATCTGTAATATTAAATTTTAAATCAATTTTAATTCCAGTTTCAAAAGAGAGATTGACTTGTATTATAAATTAAATCATGAAAACGTCTCCAAACTTGTGAGACTTTGTCGAGAAAGTAAGATTTCGCTGGGTATTTATACTAATTTTTGTCACACATTTAATTCTCATGTCTTCTATTTTCAATTCCCACAGATGATCCACACTATATGATAATGGATTATAGCGACTGGGTAAGTGGATGGCGAAGACTTAAACGGTCGTTGATACTTTGAAACGAGATTAAAATTATTTTTTAAATTGCAGGGAGATCTCAAGCAGTTTTTACTTGCCACTCGACAGGACTGCATCCGTCCCTTGCCAGCACCGAAACCACCTCCGTTAACTGTTTCTCAAATTCTCCAAGTGATTTCTCAGGTATTTAAATTTGCAAGAATAATCATTCATGCTGCATGCATTTTCTCCTTAATAACAATTGTCATTAATTTTAAAGGTTGCTCTCGGAATGGAACACTTGTCAAACCATCGCTTTATCCATAAAGATCTCGCAACTCGCAATTGCTTAATATCCTCCGGTTTACGAATTAAAATTGGAAATCCTAGTCTGTGTAAGGACACATATTCTGCAGAGTACTTCACAGTTAGAAATCATGTAAGATTTACTATATCCTCATACAAACTGTAAGATTCAAATTCGAACCTAATCTCCGTTTCCCTTTGCACAGACAACCTCCATCAGATGGTTGCCTGCAGAAGCAGTTCTTGAAGACGATTTCTCCACTAAATCGGACGTTTGGAGTTTTGCTGTCTCTGTGTGGGAAACTATTCACCAGGCGGCGATGCCATTCTCAACCAAGACCAACGACCAAGTCGTAGCCGCACTAGAACGGAAAGAGTTGCGTTGGACCACTGCAGACATGGAAAACAAAGTTCCTGCTGGATTACATAAATTACTCACTCAGTGCTGGGATGCGTCGCCAAAAAATAGACCTAATTTTAGTGCAATTGTAATTCAGTTATCCGAAATTATCAAAGATGAGTTAAATTTTAGTAGCGGGCGTAAATAGCATGAGGCCCCCGTCGTCTCAGGAAAACGAAATAGCGTCATCCTCCTGAAATCAAATTCAGCTTCCAGCAACATTCATACATATATATTGTAAGATTTCCCATGCTGTAAAGTTTAGTGTACAAAATATGCGTAGATATGTAAAATAGTACGAAGAAACAACTGAAAACCGTCTAATTGTTAAAAACATTCGTCCATCGTGAAAATCTTAGTTTTAATACTAATCAAATTTTGATGCATTTTTATCAACCAACACATGACATCAATACGATTACATTATGTAATTCCTTATTGGCTGAATTTTTCTTTAAAATACTAAATATTCTGAGCATTAAATATTTTAACTTTCTTCTTAGACTTACATTTTATTATTGTTTTTAATATTTTAATTATTCTACAGTGATGAACGTGATATGTAATTTTATTTGACTAGATGATTACTCAACTGATGGAATATGCTTGATTGTTTTGGGTTAGTATTTTTATAGCGATTACCGTACCACATATATGTACAAATTAGTATGTATGCGTAATCATATTTTGAATGCTTTCTTTCTTTCATAATGAGGATGACATTTATTTGTGTGCTAATGTCTAACGAATTAGGTAACTACATACTTACATATATTAGGGCATTGTTGGAATGAGAAGCAGCTAAACAAAAGACTCATTAAAATACAAGCTATAACATGTTATGTACATAGCTCTGCAGATATGGCTTGGCTATTAACTTTCTCTATATAGAATATTTACTAAATACTAAAAAACTTATATAATAATCAAGAAATTGTGTATGTCAGGGCAGAGCACTTTTTGCAATTGAAGTTGTCTCGAGCCCCCGTCACTTTCTCTATGCAATTAGTCTGTAAGTCAAAAGAATATGACAATGACACGTCATTTCTTCTACTACTATGCAGTAAAATTAACGTTTTGTGCTTCCTCTAGATATTACTATTCAATGCATTGTGAAAGTATCAAAAATTGTTTTTATTTATAAAAAGATTCACTAAATTAAATACTTAAACATTTAAAATATACTTTAAACTTGAATAGTATTTAATTTTCGTAACAAAATTATTATATGTATAAATCTTAGATCTTAGAATTAAGCTAAGACATTATGAGTACTAAAGTATCCACATGGCCTAAATGTAGAGTAAGAACATTACCGTTTAGCTTTACAAAAAGCAAATGGAATCCATCCTTTGAAAATCTATGCAAACCTGTACATGCAAATGTACACACCTAAATACAAATATTTCGTGTCAAAATGTTGTAATAGGTCTAAGAATATTATACTTCATAATTATAATATACATAAATAGAAATAGAAATCAAAGCATTTTGATGGTCATGCGTGAAATTATTCTCTGGATAAATGTTTGGATCGACAAAAATGTTTGAAACTAAACTAATTTGAAGCGATATATATGTTGCAAATGCGAATACGTTAAACTTGCGTATTTATAATGAATCTGGATTCTGCCAAGTTTATAATAGTTTAGACCGTCATAAATTATTTGAATAAATTATTTGTTTGAATGAATCTAAAAATGTACTTGTCACAATTCAGTCAGTTTTCTAATAAACTATTTTTTGTCTTCAATATTAAGAAAATTTGAGTTTAATAAATCATAAAATTACATAAATTTCAAATTCACAGTGTATAACACTGAGGATATAAAGAGTATGTAAAGTATGACATATGTAAAATTTCAGTGCACTTAAAATGCCATTATTGCTTGAATAAGTATAAATAATGACGAAGCGTATGCAGTTTTTCAAGTTTTTATTTTATGGATTGCGATAAATATACAATCTTCAACATGATTAAAAACTATAAATCGTTACAGGATTTTAATACCGATAATAATGAGAAAATAAGGGTAACAATTCCAACATGAACTGAAGACGATCCACTGTCACCTGGTTTTCGATATGCAGTCATTCGATTGCCGTACATTTGCAAAAAGTCGAGAATGACACCGTTGGTCCAACCAAACCCAACAACGACTTCATACTCTCCACCTCCCCCAGCGCATCCAAGACAGGTCACATCATACTGGAAATATGTATCGAAGGACAAACATTTCACCAATAAGCCAATCTTCAAAAGTATTCAGTTATCATTATGTTATGCTCAAACCTTTTCAAACATTGTGTTGTTGTGAGTTAGATAAGCCAAATGGTTCGTTCTTGTCCACCGTTGAGCCAAATCGAATGCCAGTTCTTGTGCAGCTTGATTTCCAGAGTACTCGAATGCTTCGACGACCTAAGCGGACAGTTACGTAATTTAATGTTAGCAAATATGTAAGTTATGTTATTAGATCTAGATAAGATGGACAAGTTATTTATTTCAGGCCAAGACCATCGCAACTACTCAATTGTACTGGCACTTACATAACACAATCTGCCGCGATTGTGTTACTATTAAATGACTAAATCGACCAAAATATCCTCCGCATACTTTCCTCTCTTAAAATTATTATTAGTCAATAGTTGATTCACTAGATTACCATGTGATTAAGTGGGGCCCAACCATTGGGGAAGTCCCATTGTTGTCCGGTTTGAGCCATCGAGGAGGGAATTCCTCCAGGAAACGTTGTGGCTTTGGCGTCGTTGAAGTACTTCACTATTTTTGGGACTGCTGTCTCATTGTGGTGAGCCTTCACCCAAAGAGGGACAACGTTAGTTGCAAAGAATTCTTTGCGTAGATTTCCTCTGACGTAGTCATAATCGAACCAGGAACCCAATTCTTCGTCCCATAAGACATCGTGAATAGCTTGCTTCCAATCAGCCGCCTGCCTTGCATAATACGTTGCATTTCCAAGCGTGCAGTTGTCTGGAACCTACGCACGTTTATTTGACCGAATTAAATATGTATATAAATCTGCATGAGAATGTAATGGGTCGTTATAAGTATGAGAATCATTAATTGTATAACCAATTGACAAAACTCTTCAAGAATAATTGCGTTCCAATATAAAAATCCATTTAGATCAACAGGAATGATGTCACGCGTCTTGGTGTGAGACAAGTTGGCTGAAAAATTACTCTCGTTAATTGGTTGATAAATAAATGTTAGAAATTTGACATTTTGTCAAATATTATGGCTATTTATTTATAATAATGACCTTCAATTTCATTGTCTTCTGTAACAAACCACCTCGAAGAAAAGTCCCAACCGGATTCTGCAGAAAAGTTTTTTTATATTATAACATAACAGGAGATATGTAGTTGTTAAGCACCTGCTCCAGCTTTCAAGTTGGCGTACAAAATGTCCTTCTCGGTCTCATTAATGGTAAGTGGTTCAACCAGCTCAAAGTCTTTGCTGTAAAGGAAAATGTCCAAAATAGTCATCACGTCCACACTTATCACATAGAGGCCAGATCATTGCGAGAAGTGACAAAAGTTGACCCGTGAAATTTTATATTCTTTTGATCCTGGGATAAATGGAAAGTGTATACGGACGGACCTGTAAGACTCGGGGCGTGGACCCTTCCGGTCAACATTGTACCTCGCCATTTTGTAACTCTGCTGCCCACCAGGAAGTTGGAAAGTAACGGTTCTGTGTTCCATAAAAAACTGGAACTCTTCCTCCATTATGCGAATGTTATCTCTTATGAAAGTCAAATTTCCAGTGGCGTCAAAGTAATTTTTAACCATTCCAATAAAAAGTGGTGGCTGACTTCGCTCATAATAAATTCTACCACCATTCGGAATATAGCCCAATTTTCCAACCATCTCCACAAAATTCTCAATCATTCCACGCACGGTGGCCGTCATTTCAGAAACAATAAGGCCCTTCTGAATCCTAACATTTGGACAGCAAAGTTAGGAACTGGGTGCATATTTACCAATATAAGTGCAGAGTAGTACCAGTAAGAGTCCCAGTAGTAAAATTCCTTAAAGCGTCCTCCAGGAACGATAACTGGGTGTGAAACATAATGCATAGAGTAGCGATCGCTAGTACTAACATCTTCTTTAATTTGACGGCCAAGTTCTTCCCAAAATGAATGAAGTGTTTCAGCCCAACTTTTTAAGTCAGGGTCGGAAATATTGTTGAGGAAAACAGGGTTGTCTATCCAGTCACTAGGAGTCCAGGGCACAAATTCTGTTCCGTCCTCAAAATTGAGGGCAACAAAATCCCGGATCTGATCAATCAGTGTTTCGTTTCCGTGAACATCGCCCGAGAAACCAAGTGCCTCAAAATTAGATAGCACTTCTTGGGGAGGGTGTTTCATTGCGAGGTCGACGAAGGTTTTGTCGTCAACGAAGAGATGGTTGAGCTGGACCGTTTCAAGAAGGGGGCCTTGACAGTATATCGTACTATAAAATGTTACACATAATTTATTACGTCGGCATTTGAGTCATTTGCAATAAAGAATTCTACGTTTATCTTTGTTCTGCCATTGACAGACACTTTTTTCTTAATTTCTTTAAATAATCGCTTACCTGTTACAAGGTTCTTCAAATTCCTGTCCATGAGAAATCTTAAAGAATAAGCACACGTACAATATAAACCAATGCAAAATTATCAGTTTCATGATGCAAGCGATCTTGTCGTGATCCACAGAGAGAAAGATCAGATGCCAATTGAAGAATGCATGAGTTCACAAACACGTTAGTGGGTGATATTGTTCTGTTATCTGTATGTATGGGCGATGATAAGCGATTCAAATAACACTTCTGTGCATAACAAATCTTTACTTGATAAATTTTACACTGGTATTATTCTGATTTAAGTACTTAAATATTAAACACTTCCATTAATACTGGAAAACACTTGACTTTGCGGTTTGCACTGAACAATTCCTTGGTTTTAAATCAAGACATAAATATGTATGTGGTGTCAATCGTATGTAAGTGAAATAATATGTACGCCATTGATTGACGTCTCGTTATGAAACTCCATTGTTGTTCGAGTCTCTAGTCTAAACCTGAGCTGAATTCTTGATCGCTAAACAGACTTGGAAAATTAGTAGTAGTGTCGTCTATGCCTTCTTACAATTTCTACGTTGTACTTGTACTTAGGATGATTTATATCTTCATATTTTCGCTTAATGACACCACTGAACCCAACCGGATCTACTCTGTTCAAGGAAGATGCCAAGTAAGTATTGGTGAGTAGATATACAGATAATTAAAAAAAAATTGTTTCATAGGTTCAAAATATTCAATTAATTAAGTATGAGTGTTTTCGGAACCTGATAATCCCAAAATTTCTACTGCAAATATATTTATTAATAAATTAATAAAATTCTGTCAATGTTTATGCAGCAATAAATGCAGCCACTCAATTAAGATAAAACATTTTTTGTGTAATGAGAACAAATACGTGAAAATTTTATGGACAATCGTACGTATGTATGTATGCCCTCGTCAATTTTGTTTACTCGCCCCACAGTACATTATACTATTCCATAATGCAAATATCTGGCAAGTGAATGAACACGTATGTTCAATTTTAGCATATAAATAGCTAAGCAAAATGATAGTTAGATGCGGCAGCATTCCGAGAAAGAGTGCAAAAAATATTACACTTTCAAATTAAGCACACAGTTTTTAGCTACGAAACACTAGATTTAAACGTTCATCAATTATGTTTTTATTTCTGTTTATATTTTTTAATAACCAAATACACGCTTAATTGTTGATTTGGGTGGTAGAAGGAAAATTTGATGGTGAAGTGGGGAAACCTCTTATTTGATTCAAATAGCGTCTAATAGATAAGCCTCCCGAGATCATCATTCGGCCCCTGACAAGATTTTGCAAGGCATACTTTTATCAATTATCAGCTTCAATGCTGATTTTAAATATTTCTGCTTAGAATGCTACAGCTTGTTTCTTTTTCCGTCATCATTACAGCCAGCCTGCCTCCTCTGCTGAGATTCGGTCCATTCTTGATTTTCGATTCGGGCATTGATTAATTACTTTATACGTCGCAAGAAAAAGATCCAGGCAGTTGTGCTGCTTCCCTAATATATTCTTGACCAAGAAGATAAATGAACTCCAAAACGTAATCCGAAACTACTAAAATGAATTCTCTGCAATAAGCTTGATCTAAGGGTGAGGTCCAAGGTTGTTGAGTGCGTACATATTTATTTTGTGTACTTACCAATCCCAAGATTATTATGCACCAGAATATTTAGGAATAAATAAGTACTTTATTTGATCCACATTGCTTATGTTACGGGCTTCGGGATACATATTTATGTACATATATACGTCACAGAGCAAGTGGAAATTTCATGTCATTATCATTTTGTTGCTTGGGCGTGACCTTAAAATAGTTCCATTATGTTTCTCGACGCAAAAAGTACGTACGTATTGTAGTATTCAGTAAATATTTGTGCTCAAAATAGGAATTGCCTTGGACATCCTATAAGCCAAAAAATAAATAAGATTACTGAAAAATTTCGAGGTGAAGCCAAACAAAATGCGTCTATATAATTATCATAAATTTATTTATATTTCATTCACTGCGTTATGACTGCAATATAATTTATAGGCAGGAAAATTTATCAATCAGTTTTGTTTTCCTCCGAAACTTGTGGAAAATATTTTTTCCAAGCTTTTGTATGCATTGGAAATATTATTGTTTTATCCATTGTTTTTCTCAAGTTATGTGTGTATAAGTTAGCTCGATACTTATCAGGACCCAAGGGGTTGACTTGTAGAGTAAGAAATCAACTTCAGCCATCGCATTTATTCCACAAGCCATCCACACAAATACCCACCTCCGCTCCCTCCCAAGGTGACTGGCTGGACGTGGTACATACTTGACAGAAAGCGCATTACTTGGAGCGGAGAGAGTGACATGATTGCTGCGACAAGCCAAGCATAAAAAAGAGAATTGAATTCTCTTGGAAAGAGAAATCGGAAGGTTCTGAAATGTACAATTGAATTTTGACTTTTGACTCGCTTTTCCTTTCTCTCCCATTTTTACTCGTCGAATTGTTCTTCATTTCTTTTGATTCCATTTTAGCTAAATGTATTTAGGTCGCAGCTTCTGTAATGGGATTTTCCCACACTGGCAAACCTGAGTGAGCGTCAGGGTATAATTTATGCAGCTCGATTTAATGTTACGGTAAAAAGGGATGATGCAAAAAACTTGAAACTGAAGAATCTGCCTAATCAAGATGTTCAAGAATTTTCGAGGGATTATTTAGCCTGACACTTGATTCAACGGGAGAGAGAGCTATCGATTTCTCAAGTCTGAGACACTTCAAGTATTCCATTAAATCAGAGCTTTTCTAATTAATGACGATCAAGATTTTATTACAGGAAATTAAAAGGCATCCATCGCATCAGCTAAGTGCTTACTTACTACACTTACTGCACATTTCCAGCAAGTTTTAAGTAGTCGCCTCTTACATGCCGTCCATGATTAAGTGATTAAATTCAACATAAGTCCTCCTCTCGCATTCAAATTTCAAGTAATAATCCGCTTATAAAACTAAATAAATGGATTGTTCACGAGCACAAACACAAATAAGTAATTAGTTAAATATGTACTCTTAGAATTGCCGTAACCCAGTTTTGTGTGTTGTTGATTGTTGACATTTTACTCGAAAACGGAAGAATTTAATGTACCACTAAAAGAACTATGTAAATTAAAAACTAGAACCAACTTTTTAAGAAACGAGAGGCGTGCACTGATGTAAATATTTGACTAAATGATGGATGAATGCATGTAATAATTTAAGAATGTAGTTGTTCAGTCGTAGATGACGTGAGCAAACATGTTAATGTATTGAAATCCCTGGGAGGAACTTACAAAAGTTTAATTTGTAAAGTAACTCATTTCCATTTCATCATTTCCATTTTTCAAGAACTTTCCCCAGTTGTACAAAACTCGCTGTATTTCCATTGTGAAACACAATTCTTTCTCTTTATCTAATTCTACATACCTTCATCGCCTGTGAATCATGGTTCTCATGCAGATGTACATAAATACGTATATAGTGAGTGGAAAAACAAAAGGGAAAGCTAGTTTGGGTTGAGGGAGAGGATACATGCATCCGATTATCTGAATTTGGGCTTGATCTGATAAACCATTGTTAAAATATATCCTATTGAATTCCGAACAGCATTCCAGGAACATAACTTCGTGCTTTAGCAACTCCCTGTCATGAAATAATTAACTGTGTTCTCTCGGATTTGGATTTGCTCAAAAGTCCAGCACGAGAATATATGACACCGAAAGTCAGTCCCACCATGATTCCTTTGTTGCACTACTTTGTGGTTTGTTTCTAGTTGTATTATTGTGAATTCCGGTGTGCGCTGTGAGGATTTTAGTCTGACCACTTTTTGAAGTGCAAAGGTCAGTTGCAGTCTCGTCTCAAAATTAGTCAGGTCATAGTTGTTGGCGATTGATTGCACTCTACTGTATCATGAAGAAACTCAAGTATATGTACATATGTAAAAGTCGAAATATATATATTTTCTAGCTTAAATCTCCATTTCTAATATCATTAAAAAGATGCTTTTGCTAAAAAATTGTACTTTTGTATTGGAAAGAAAAAAGTTGCATCTTATTCCCGAACCTGTTGTTTTACTTGAATCAAAATATTTGTTAGTCCTTGAAACACTACATGTGCAAAAGAATTCAGCAGCGACTAAGCTCGCTTTATATAAAACATCGAATTCACAAAGGATTAGGGATTTCCCTTGGTCCAGCAGTTCAAAGCAAGAAATTCGAAGATGTGATAGATTGAACAAACAACCTTCCTTCGCCGTGTTTGTTGTTTGTGAATTGCAAAATGTTGACCAAGAATATTAGGTTTACTTCCAATGCGTACTAGCTCTGCTGGAATATTGACAGTTGTTGATCTTGATTTGTCATTCATCATTTATCGGAGGGGGCTGGCAGGAAGGAGTAAAGTAAACAACCCGTAGAAAATCACTCTATTCCCAGAAGGAAGGAAAATTCAACAATTGGAAATGTCCGAAAGAAAGAGCATTTTCAATTGATGAAGTAGACCCAAGCGGAATAAATTGGGGAAAAACTTTTTATTTAACTTGCTCATTAGGAATTACTTGCGTAAAAATATTACAGATGTGAAATGCTACGGAATTGCATAAGCAGAGAGAAAGCAAATCCATGTTCATTTTACACTTTCCAAAGATCATGCTAAAAAATCAGACTTTCCATTTGCATGACCAGCCTACGTTAAAAAATATTATCGATGAGCACCAAAGACTGAGTGTTCGTACACTATAATAAAAATGTAGACAAATCTATCCAGAGAATTTTTGAAGATTTGTCCACTTTTACAAAATATTATATTGAGACTCATCTAAATATAAATATGCTTTGAAATTACTTCGAAACATGTATTGATAAGAAAATATGAATCTCCTTTCTTTCAATTCATGTTCCCAACATTACGGTAGTAAAAATATTCAATGCGTATCATCGATCCTGGGCAGAACTAATGTTTCTGTAAGAAACCGACACTAATAAATGATGGGACGGACACTTTAAGCATACATAAATAAATATGGATAGAAACGCTGAACTAAAAAGATTCAGCCATAAATAGAGTTGACATCTCCCAAGTTTTTGCCTTTTAGCTTCCTACACACATGGTGAAAACTTTCGCAAAAACAGTGACGTCGCCGTAGTACTTATGCACATGTACTCATACTGATACTTCCAGCCTTTGTGCAATGCAAACTTATTTGGCTTTTCAAACATGCTACGTTAGACACGCCCTCTCTCATTCAGTGCTCTTTTCTCATAACTGTCTGTACGTGTATCGTGATCATATAACCGAAAAGATGGTTAAGTCGTCCACCAAAAAACTAGCAGTGTCAAAGGCTTCCACAATTTTATGGTGAAAGTGGGAAGGTAGAAAATGTGGTGGGTGGTGGACACACGTAGAGGCTTTATCTAATCTTGTATCTCGCATTTGACCGACTTACCTCATCCATTATAACCAGGTCAATCATCAAAGAGCTTGGTAAAGACAAAGTGGTTTCCTTCAGCTTATTTTCCCTGGAAATTATAATCCACGACATCCTTGGACACAAAAACGCGCACACTTGTCGCAGCTTAATTCAACTCTAATGCTCTGAGAAATACATCAGCACATCGTTCAGTTTTTTGTACATTTTATACCTAACAAAATTACATTATAAGCAGTCAGCAAGATACCGGACACTCGGATCGTCCACGTCACTAATCAGTCAG